CTTTACTAGCATCTTCCACATCATTCATAGAATCCATACATCGAACATATATATATCGTGAACATCCTTAGCAATAAAAGATCATCACTTATCATAGCAACACCAAAAGTTATATCATTGGCCACTGATCTAATCAGCCATACGATAACGACAGTCGTATCACAAAATGATGATGGCTACAACATCATAGACTTGTACGCCCCACATGTATATCCAATATCTTTTGTACTCATAACCTTATCCCATATACATATAAATATCACCACAACACAAAATAAAGGACGACACGTTGTATTCACATTATTCGATACGGGCTATTGCTTTTGGCTTTGTATAGTCGCGTCCCTCTTACGACAGATGCTTGGATCTTCCGTATGTCGTATTCGAATTTGTCGCAGCAACATCTTGGATCTTCTTGATCGGCATTATTCTTTTGTACAAAGTCATCATCTCATTACTTTCATGCTGCGCCCAACATCTTTACTTTGCCACACCATCATGCTTAGCCCTCCCACAATATACTTAGCCTCATCCCAACAATTATAAATAGTGGACCATCTTATAGAATAAATCATCATCTTACGTTCTCTTTACTTTATTGTCTATTTGTCTGTGTGGCACTATTCTCCTTCGTGGTTCTATTCCTGTGTGGCCTATCTATCCTTCGTGGTCATTATCTCCTTCGTGGTAGTCGTCTATTATCCTGTGTGGATCCAAAAAGAAAGACCACAAATTTGTGCTGGCAATCTAGTAGCCAGAATGAAGAATAGACGAATGAAGCTTTTTGCTAATTGAAGATAAGAATATAGGATAATGTTTATTCATTCAATTGAGAGGGGTATTTATATTGTTCTATAATGTTAGGGTGCAGCATGCGCAGCAAAATGATGGATGTTGCGTGGCAACGGTGTAGCGCAGCAAAAGAGTTGCGCAGCAATACAGCTGCTGCGAAGCAATCGAGGGATCCAATCCAATTGCTGAGGTTCTTCGTTCTTGCATCGCACCTCGAGTACATGCCTATCGAGTGGTCTTTCCGAAATGGGTGTTTGATCAAAATTCCTTTATTCATTTTATTGGCTTCAACAACTATGACAATATGGTACCATCATAGGCAAAACAATGAAAATTTAAAACGATACAGCTACACTCAATCTCATCCCTACTATATCAGTAATACATGAAAGCGTTGACACGCTGATACGAAGTTGTCTATGGGAGAACATGGAATCCCTGCCCATAATGTCAGCCGATTCCGGTTACGATACCTTTCAATTCTTTCCTACTTCAAATATTGAATCAACATACATAATCTCTATGTGTATAGCTGTTCTTGGCATGGTGTAGTTGCTATGGTATAATAAAGACAAAGGCGCTTACAAACATAGGAATGCATTGGCCATACCATTGTAAAACGTCTAAATCTTTATTCGTATACATAATCTTTACACATGAGCAGCCAACAAAACAAAGTTAACCTGGTAGGAAAAAGCATTCTATGTTTGCGTGGATGGTGTTTTGTTTTTATTGTCCTGCGTATAGCGATTACGAGGAATGGGGTATAGCTAATCGAGCATTTGGATTCCTTGTATCTATTCATCCGGTTGGTAAACATCAACATCCGGTCAACAACGATCTCTATCGGTTATCCATTGCACCCTCATAGCCATCCACCGTAGCGCAATGTACTCGCAGCCCAAAATATGAATACCATCACAAGCTCCAACTCTGTGGGCCGTATCATATCGCAGGGTAGCCATCCTCGTTAGTAAGATCACCTCCTGGAAAGCGTATCGAGATGTATACACATGCATCATGGTCACTATGACCTCAGCAAAGTATTATGGCACCAAGAATCTTTATCTCATTCATTGTGACCCCATGGAAATACAGTAAATCTCATGCGTGTGCTCTGATGTAGCGATCCCAAGAGATGATCAAATCGCATTATCATCTTTTGTGGATGATCGAAAATCCGTTGCCTTATATAAGTTCCCCTTGCCATCATCCCGCCCAATCCATACAATCATATAACTCAACGCTAGCTGCCGTTTGTGTGCCTTTTATCGTGAAAGAAACGAATAGTATTGTCAAAACGATAATAACGATCCATTTGAAAATAAAGATCTTTGTAATGCCGTAAACTCGATTCTATCTGTGCCATCCATAGTCTTCATATCACGCCCTTCATCATTGGATATTCAGTTGTGCACCAATGTCGATGCATGGGATCCATATCAATGGGAAGCATAGCCACACAGTGATGTGTCGAAGAGATAGAGATTGTTGACGGCCGTCTACGTCCATCATTCATCTGGTTCAATATCATGTTGTCGTTCTCAATTGTGCTACCCGTGGTGGTAATGTCATCAAGCGTATACAACGTTTCAAGGTGTTCAGAGAAGGATGCCGACGAAAGTAGAAGCGAAAAAGTGAAGCTGAATCGATGATGCCGTAACTAAGCGATGAACGATGATAGCCAACGAGTTGCCAAGTCAACGTTGAAATCATTTAGGGAGTCTTCAATCAGGGATCACCCATAAAGCGCCTAATGTATACGACCAAAGGGAGCTCCATGAGCAATCATACACCATCAAAGAACGAATATGGAATACAATACCCAAGTACGCCATGTATACACCATCCTGGTCCAATCACAATAACACAAAACAACTTGTTCCTGTATCTCTTCTCCCACCTGGAAAGTATCAAACAGATCCCCACCATACGATGCGTAGAAACCATTCACATGCCATGCTTGATCCGCCTTGAAGGGTCATCAGGTATATCCATATCATGCCAGCAATTGCTTGTCGTCCTTCCTTTCCCCACCAATCATAGCCTCACGACCCGTTTCCATATGATGTTAATTGCTGTAGCATCCTACGCATGAATTGCATCTTGTCAAGCCCACACATCCTTTCATCCTCTTGCGCCGTACGTTACCATGTGATACATAGATCAGCACCAAGGTCAGAAAGAAAAACCAATGGCACCATCACACCCCGAGTGACCGGAAATAAGAAACCAAAGGGAGATTGCATATTGGGAATCGATGGCTCAAAGGATTTGCTTGATTCACATGATGGTCATGGAGCTTGCCATCATCCTCTGGTAATTGATGTGCTGAAAGAATTACATCCGACACGATATCGTGCTTGCTTTGCGAATTACCTAAAAAATTAAAACCAAAAGTGATGAGCAGCGCGAGAGAATGGATCACTCTTTGAACGATTGCAACATTTCCTTCCTCCTACCAATTTCACATACCAATGCATTTACCCATGTCAAAATATTCCTATACACGTTTGTAACATAGGTGTCTCATTTGAGTCCATGTCCATATCCATTTGAAGTGTTGCTTACTTTTGGGTAGTCAAGTGATCACATTCACCGCCAGCTCGATAGTAGCGTGAGGCATACTACAAGACTCATTGACAATCGTTTGCCTTGAGATCGAATCGTCAAACGTACAATTTGGATTGGCGTTGTTCAGAAGAAGCATGTGCAAGTGATAAAAAGCAGTTGTTTGCATGATATCGCAACCATAATACGGATGCTGATAACCAATGGTTGTGGAGACGTTGAACAATAATACGCAACAAGGAGTCAAGGTAGAGCCTTGAAAGAGTCATCCTCATCGAAGCGAAAGGAATGTAGTGTTGGCATTTGGTGAAAGAAAAAGGTGCTTGTTAACTTCTATGACTTGTACCAGCGCGTGGTGCTCAACCTTTAACGTGTTGATATGGCGATATCGCTGCTCATATGGATCATCAATAAAGGTCACGAAACCATACCACCATCTAGACTTCCATCAGTACGTGGTAGAACAATGTCAATTGTAAATGAATACGTACCATAAAGAACGACCATAAAAAGATACATCCAGGGACGAGCTGTACTGCCACAATCCAATACAATGAATGTGATTGCTTCCTTTGTCATCTTGTGGCACCGTGGGGAATGATTCAGCTCATCACCATTGTACGCTGCATCCTCACCATCCGCATGCCGTGCTTGATACCATACAATCCATCCACAACGCCAGGGAGAGTAAATCCAATGATGTTCATTAAATGTGATCCTACTTTAATTCATTGAGTATCATCCAATGATCCATTCCCATCCTTGAATATTGTTGTACTTTATACATACCATCTCTAGAAGATGAAACGTCTTTTCATGCTCTCGTCTTGCATTGACCATCACGTGATTAGGTCGCTGGATAAAGGTTGCTAGGATTCACTGAAAGAAGGTCGACAAGACCCAATGCCAACATATCCCTTTGCTGCACATCTTTCAAGTCGCCTTGCTTATGTCACCAACAGACGGTACGTTGCCACCATTGAATAGAATCTCTTTCCCCATTCGTCCTGAACATTGCCATTGTCGCCATTGCTGAACCAGGAAAGCTGTAAAAGAGAAGCATATGAGTATACACAACGAAGAAAGGCAAGTTGGTTCTTACACACTAACAGCACGCTACTCACCTTCATACACGCTCTTTCTCACACATCGCTTGCTAATGACGGCTTCCATGACGAACCAGGATTGCGGCGTTGGGTCTGAATGGACAAGAAGCAGCAAGAAGAAGACGAGTACACCCATACACGCACACAAGGAAATTAGTCTCTGCCCTTCACACACGCATACAATAAACAACACCACCATTCATAACGCTTTCATAAACGTATCCTTTATTATCATCATATGACAAGAGCCGGGGGTCAAGTGGGGTCAAGGCTATTGCTGCGGTATGGCTATAATACAACTACACCTAACAATATCACCTTGTCACTACCACACCTATACCCTTTTATTAGCAAGTGATATAAAGATAGTTTAGACATACTTGTTTACCCATTCCAACTGCAATTGGGAAGGATCATGACATTGGATTAGTCAAATGGGGTGAAATGGGGTGACGTCGTCTTTGTAATAAAATAGACGTTTCCAGCTCAACGAATTTCTTCCTCTTTCTTCCCAACTTTGTTACTTTCACAATGCTCTGCCTCGTGCTCTCTGCTATTGCTGTCTGCTGCTCTCAACCTACTCTTCTTCTTGCGTTTCCTGTTGCTTGCCTTGTGCAGCTTTTGGGTGTCCCTGCCGCGTTCTCGTTTGCCTTTGGCTACGTTCTTTCGCACTTTTGGCCTTCTTTTGTTGCCTGTTGGTCCTCTCTTGTTGCCTTTTGGTCTTCGTTTGTCGCCTGGTGTTCTTCTTTTGTTGCCTGTTGGTTGTCGTTTGGTGCCTTGTGGTCCTCTTTTGTTGCCTTGTGGTCCTCTTTTGGTGCGTTGTTGTCCTCTTTCGTTGCGTGGTCTTTTGTTGCGTTGTGGTCCTCGTTTGCTGCCTTGTGGTCCTCTTTTGTTGCATTCGTGGTGATGTGGCAGTCCATTGTCAATCCCACTTACAACCCTTACTCGCCTCTTCGCCCATTGCCTGGCATCATTGTGACCGACCTCTCTCCATCACGTGAAGTCCTCTCGGTTCACTTTGTTCGCTTTGACCCTTCTTGTCCTCCTCCTGCTGGTGTTCCTTGTGTTCACGAGGGCAACAAAGTTGTCTCTGGTTCTTGTGTTGGTGTTGGCGCTGCTGCTGCTTCGGCTTCTTCTGTTACTGCTTGTGACAAAGTTGTCCTTGATCACGCTGATGATGTTGCTCCTTCTTGTGGTTCTCCTCTTGGTACTTCTGGTGACTCTGATGATGACGATGTCTCTCTTTCTGCTTGTGGTGGTCTCGATTCGGCTTGTGTTGGTGATGGTGTCGCTGCTGCTCCTGGTGATGAGGATGCTTCTTTTTCGGCTGGTGTTCCTCTTGGTTCCAATGCTGTGCCTTCTGATGATGATGATGATTTGAGTGCTGATGTGGTGGCCTCTCATGATGTTGATGGCTCGCTTCCTTTTGGTGGTGATGGCCCTGTTCCTTCTGTTGTTGGTGATGTTGCGCCTGCTGATGCTGAGGCTGTTGATGTTGAAGCTGTTGAGGATGTGCCTGCTTTTGAGGACGTGCCTGCTGTTGAGGACGTGCCTGCTGTTGTTGCTCCTGTTGAGGACATGCCTGATGTTGTTGCTCCTGTTGAGGACGTTCCTGCTGTTGCTGCTGTACCTGCTGTGCCTGATGTGGAGGATGTGGATGCTATGGAAGTTGTTGACCATGATCTTGATGATGACATTGATGAGCTATGTAAGTATTGTGGTAATATTGTACCTCTTTTATTATACAAGTATCTCATGATGTTTCTATATAGGCTTTCTTTTCCACCACTTGACTGCCGACGATCCTTTTGACGAGGATGCGTATATGGCTCCTCCCTTTGACAGACGCTTTGTCGAACCAATCAATTGGATGGAAATTGGTATGTGCTACTTTCGGTCATATGTCGTGTTATAGTGATATGAGTAGTAACATGGTATTATATTCTTTAGAGGACGACCTCCTTTCGGTGATGTCAACTTCGTCAATCCTTTCTGATCCTGAACCAGAGCCAATGGAAGCTGAACCTTTGTCACCTATTACCGCAATTCCCACCACCATCAACACCGCTGCTTCCATTGCCAACATCACATTCCTTTTCGACCCTGTACCTGAACCCATGGAAGTTGTAACTTCTCCTTCTCTTACCGCAATTCCTATCACCACCATCAACACCGCTTCTTCCATTGACAACACCATCAACACCGCTATCACTCCTACCACCACTATTACCGCTTCCTCTATTGCCACCACCGCCAACATCACTACCGCCAATCCTCAAGCCATCATTAATACCGCTACTTCTACTGCTACTACGCTCATTACTTCTCCTCCTCGTCCTCGTACGAATACATCTATGCCACCACCACCACCACGCACCACTACTACTCTCGTTACTTCGCCTCCTCGTCCACGTATGAACTCGTCTATGCCTCCACCAACACCACGACCACCACGCACTGCCACCACTGTCATTACTTCTCCTCCTCGTCCTCTTATGAACCAATCTATGCCTCCACCACCACCTCGCGTACGACGTATCACATTGACTGTCACGCCACCTACCAATCCTTCCACCAATGCCGCCACATCATCTACTACTACCACCACTAATGCCGCTATGCCACCTCCTCCACCACGTCAACCACGCACAATCGCAACACCCTCTTCTTCTTTCGGTCCTTCATCATCATCATCCTCATCATCTTCCACCACCGCCAAGCGATCATCATCACGTCGTGAACCCGCCAAGTCAAAGAAATCCGCCACACCTACCACCACCACTACTACCGAAACGACAACAACAACAACAGTACCTGACGATGTACGTGAGGTACAAGAAGCTCTCGGTCTTTTCGACTGAATGGGTTTGAGGATGCCTTTTGGTAAGCTGAAATGACATGCCCTTATCCATATCTATTACTTATATACTTCTACTCACCTTTAGGGCGATTGGTTTTGCGCTCCTTTTCCTTGAGGACGTTTTCGGGTTACGGATGGGATACCCTGCAGTCCAGTCTCAAGCGTGGATGATTCTCAGGTACGTTCAGCTTCATGTGTGTTGAGTGAAAGGGTCGGCATGTAGGTCTCGCGGTGGGAGGATCTGGAGGGTCATCGATGACGCTACCTTGGGTGCTGTAAGAGCCAACGAGAAGTCCAATTGGTATCCATGATCCAGTTTGCTATGTACAAGACCTTGCATTCCTACGTCCTCTCATGGTCTAGGTGCTACGTTACCCACTGAGGTGCTTGTTTTGGTCTTGAAAGGGTAAGTCAAAACAGTGATATTGTTTTATGATCCATTTACTTACTATTGTTGTTTTATGTTGTGGGGGCCCATCATGGTTATTGATACTGTGGTGTGTCCCTGCATAGTGACACCGCCTTTACATGTTGGATGATCATGCATTGGCACAAGCGGTAATCATTCTATGAAGTGGGTATCTGCAAACGAACATCAAGACATGGTGGGCAAGGCATCATAGCCTGGGGATTGGAGAAGATTGGATGTCGTTGGATCCGGCGCTCTTGGTGCAGAGGATAAGACTTTGAAGGATCTGTGGGTGGGAAAGAGGCCTGCATGTTGATTCCTTTCGCTCTCCACATGGGGCTGAATGTGCTTGGGATGACATGCCACGTCTTGTTTCTGGTTCTGTAGGGTATCCCTGTGAACAGGTTATGGTCACGCGTTGTGGTATGTATTGAAGCACAAATGGGTATGTCTTTTCAAAATGCTAATGTATGTCTCCCTTGACAATAGGCCTTGGGCCCTTTTGGGGCGATTGGTATCAGGAGCGGCTGCGGTCGCGGAGGACAGGAGTTCTCTTTTCTTTTTATTGGTGTCGTTACCGATTCGGATCTTGGGCATTTGCTGGATACCAATGGGCACACGCAAGGGTTCTCTTTTCTTTTTATCGATATGGACGCATCGTGGTCATGGCAACAAGGCGCAAGGGTTCTCTTTTCTTTTTACTGGTGCCGTCGTCAAGCTGAACACATGGGTTGCCATGGTTACAAGTCTCAAGCTTTTTCTCGCTCCTTGTGTTGGCATTGCTACATATTAAGAGGCTATCATCATGGCTACAAAGCAAACGGTGTCTCTTTTCAAGAATACTGGATCGGTGCTATTGCCAAGTTGGACACATTTATCGCCATGGCTACAACTCAATGACGTTGCATTGCGTGCATCTTTTTCGCGCTATTACCTATTTGGATACATCCATTGTCATGGCGACAGAGCAAAGGGGTTCCTTTTCATTCTACTGGCATGGTTACCAATTTGAACACATTGATCACCAAGGCGACAAGGCACAAGGAATTGCTTTTCATTTTATTGGCGGGACACATTTATCGTCATGACTACAGAGGGGACGAGACCTTTTCCCTTCTATTGGCGGCGTTACCTATGACGGTTATTTATCATCATTGGTCAAGGCACAGCGGGGTCTCTTTCGATCGACTTGGTGGTGTCACTGAATTTGGGCATTTATCAGCATGGCAACAAAGCACAAGGGCCTCTTTTTCTTTTATTCGATGAGGCGATCCGCTGCGATGCAGCTATTATCTTTGATCCACTTGCATACAATCCTGCTTGTTTCAGAAGTTGGTGCTCCTCTCTGTGATACGATACATGGCTATGGCATCAAGATACGGCTCACCACGCTCTCGTTTTATTGGCAAATGGTGGCAGCAGCAACACGATGAGGAGTTGGCCTATTGTACTCTACATCCGACAAAGAATGACACGGATGGCAACGCAATGGCATTGTGGAAGGCATTGACTTTGATCACGGCACCATTGTTATGGCTACAATTGCGAAAATTCACACCTATGGCATCAAGAATGGATTATCAAAAGGTTCTTTTGGACACTGGTCGCATTTATCACTTGGATTGACTGGCAACACACAACTATGACGATGGTTTTATGGCCCATGGCAGAACTAAGGCACAATTGCAGGCGTCTCGTTTTGTTAACATGGCATCCCCTTGGCGGCATGTGCATCAAAATTGTCTCTCGAGGTGGCTTTCCTGTTACAATTCGGCATCATCAAGATATTCCAATTCAATGACATAAGGGGTGGATCACTATTGGCATTTGCAGGCGTGGCTATTGGCGGTGGTCACGGTTCACAGCACATACACGGTAGCGGATGGCGAGGACATCTCATCTCGTGTTGGCTAGAGCATGCTATTGGTTGCTATGCTTTCAAAATGGGGGACGAATTGGAACCAATGCACATGCTACGACTTTATATCGGATCTTTTCACCATCTACACTCGATGTGATCCAGATGGCTATGAATTGATATACACATGGGTCATATGGCGTCGCAAGAGCATTCACAATATCAGCCACGATCGTTATTATCATTCAAGTCTGGATCTTTTCGACAAAGCCATATCAATCCAAAGATGCCTGTGGTCTGTGGACCTTTTCCAACCACTGGAGGTTCATGCATGGTTACGGACAACATGATCAAGACCCAAATCTTATTACCAAATCAACATGGTCGACATTGCACTCAAAGTCAAGAACAAACCAATCAAGGATCGACCATTCAAAACGTACGTATATGCTTCCAAAAGCCCATCTATACCAAGACGCTTACCATATTATTACATAGATGCAATCATTGGATGTCTACATATCACAGCGGTCCCGGCAATCGATTCTGGATTTCCTATGCACAGCAATTGCAAGATTCCACATATACATGAAGACAAATCAATCTATGGCTCTCTCTCTATCTCTCTCTCGTACGCGCATATACGTTCATCAATCATTTCAATCAAGCGCTCTATCAATCACAATCACAATCACAATCAAAATCACAATCACAAACATCAAAGCAAGTATCATTGGGGAATTGGTTTATATACAAGGTTCATGTATTAACAAAGCTGTTATAGAACAAACATGCCGACAAACAAACGTCATGGCATCAAGACCGGTCTGATGGATATGTATCGCTTTGTCGTTCAGGGTCACAGGGCACCGTGCGTCCACCGATTAAGAGTCGCCTGGCCGTTGGGTGCCGTGCTGAATCTGCTCAACAATCTCGACCATCACTCAAATAAGGATTGGCATTCAATATCATCAAAATCAAGAGAGCCTCAAAGAAAAGTACGTATACGATTGGCATTATCAAGGATGAAAAGTGGACACTCATTGTGGGCTCGTAGAAAAAAGAAAAAAGAAGAAAAAACAAGAAAAAGAAGAAAAGTGGGACTTGCAAGAACTGTGCTAGAAGAACTTGGATCATGCTGGAATCGGTGTTTGACCACAAACGGCCTTACGTTGGCACAAATGAAAGGATACTCAAAAGCATATACGCGCTCCACATGACAATGGGTAAGTATATGCAGGTCATTCATTTCTTTCACCCTGCTATTGCTAACAGCATCATCCATAGAGTGATTACTATGCACATCAAAGATGCTTCCAATCCAATGATGGGGAATCACGTCCATGGTGCAACATCCAGTCAAAGATGGGAAGGAGCAAACAGGAGGACTCACGACTGAAGCAAGGATGAAGGATAACCTCTATCAATCGTGAAGGGATGGAAACACGCATACAGTGGAAAAAGTGTATTGGCAAGGGCATTGTAAGTATGAAGGATGCGGGCGCCCTTTTCCAGCATGAATATTAATACTTGGGACTGATGATAGTGGGTGCTGTATTTACAGACAACGCTGTGGGAAAAGGTGGACTGCATGAGGTTCTCGTCAATCAGTTATGGAGGCATTGCTCTTTGGTGGTAGGAGCACTCGTACACTGGTGGTGGTCATCAATGTCTTGCCAGATGTCTAAATTAATATCCTACTTGTAATTATATCATATACACATATATATAAGCTCATGCATAATAAAGCATGCACGATTTGCTATAAGCTATCATACTTTGCATTAGGCTAAAGCGTATGTATATGTACGATGCATCATCATTCAAATGGCGATAATGCGGCCTGTTTGATTACATTTTAATGTAGGTGCATTCTAATAGAGTATACCAACGACATGAGTTCGACTCCTGTTTGTTTACTAAATCTAGCATAGTGGGTCACAGTATATAAACTCCACCAGTGATGAGGCAAACACAACGACAAAGACCAAGCTGATATCGTGATTTGATCTCGTACTTTGGAAATGGTGAATGACGATGAAGGTTACTGTTCAAAGACATAGCTGATATGCCTTTAGATAACGACTTGCTTGCTTCGAATGTTGTTTTACTAGATTCACCATCATCTCGAGTGTCAAGTTTAATTCCGGTTGCAGAATAAAATAGCTTGGCCACGCGTGTCCCATTCAACAATGACCTCCTTTTCTTTATTACGACAACACTCACTATATACTTCACGCCATTACAGAGCTCTAATTTTACGCTTGTCTTATGTAGATCGCGACTTCGCCATCTAGCATTAGTTTGTTTAGCAACTAGCATTATGCACAAGCATCCCTTCTCAATCACAGATATTATGGCACTGAAACTACACAAATTTTTATTTCGATGGGCCACAAAGCTACCCTAATACCTCTAGCGAACCGCCTATCCACATCATCCACCAATATCGCAATCTCAAAAAGCCCTTACCAAATCCATGATGACCTCATTCATCATGCCTAAGCTTAACTTTAAGTGAACGAATACGTACGCCTCGTGTGACGATCATCAAATAGAATGAATGTAAACCCTTGGTGAGATGTCTTGTGGCATTTTTGACAAAGGTCCAGCGTATACTCATTATGCCTTGCATTATAACGATCCACCTGTCATGTTTTTTGCCATGCACCATGATATTGCCAGGTAGTAGATACAAGCCTATCCAATGACCACGATTATTGAGGATCCTGTT